GCACCTTGTAGAAAAAAAAAAAAAAAAAAAAAAAAAAAAAAAAAAAAAAAGAAAGAATAAGAGGGAAAAATAAAGGGAATGAGAAAAGGAGGGGAAAGGAGAAAAAACAAGAAAGGAAAGAAGGAAGAAAGCAGATGAGAGAAAGCAGATGTCTAGATCATCTTTTTTCCCCAGACAGATTCTCATGCAGCTCACTTTGCTGATAAATCAATCATTTGATATTAAATAGTGTTAACTGTTTCTTTCTACAGTTTACCAAACACATTGCTTCACTGATGATCATATCTAAGGACACATCCATCAATCAGAACACCTGAAAAAACTATTGGGCTAGGGGCAAGCAGGTGGGGTAATGGCTACGTCACTGGACTCCCATGTCGTCGACTGTGGTTTGAATCCCAGACCCAGTGGCTTAAACTCACGCTGGGTGCGTGTGTGTGCATGCCCAAGAACCCGAGATGAGAATGGAGGAGAAGGGATTGTGGCATGACCATCTTCCCTGGGGGGTGATTTCTCGCTTCCTGTCTTCTGTCTCTTTCTGTCTTTCTGGCGAGCTTACATGCCCAATAGCAAACCCAAAAAAAAAAAAAAAAAAAAAAAAACAGACTATTGGGCTAAAAACACAGATGAAAGTTTGTGCTGACACATATCAGGATCACTTTTAAAAGTGAAAACCAAAAACAATTCTGTTATTCAACCCACAGAACTTACAGGTAGAATCCCATGTTTAGACAGTGTCTGTATTAGGAAAATTTTAGTGGCCTCAGATATTTTACTCTGTAGTTAAGAACAGTGTCCTTAAAGTTAGGCAATTTCTACCTCTTATAATCTCTGTAATCTTGGGAAAATTAATGAACCACTTTTGCCTTCATTTTTCTCATCTATGTAACAGGGGGTCATGATAGCACCTAATTATGGAAGAATGAAATAAAGCATTCACTGTCGCACAGTGAGGTTTCAATATCCTGCCCTTCTTGGTATATGTACAATGGTATATGCTCAGTATCTACAGGTTCTGTACCCACAGATTCAATCAACATACTGAAAATGTGTGTCATGTCATTCTTGACTGTACTTGTACTGTGTATAACAGTAAGGTCTACAATGATTACACCTATACTGTGCCTGTACAGACTTTTTTGTTATTATTCCTTAAATAATACAGTATCACAACTATTTACATTGTATTAGGTACTATAAGTATTCTAGAAATGCATTAAAGTATGAAGGAAATGTGTATAGGTTATACCAATACAATGCTATTGCACTTGATATAAGGGATGTGGATTTTGGTATCCATGGGGTCCTGGAACCAATCCCCCTTTGGATATCAAGGAACATTTACATGTACTGATTTCATATAAATACATATTTTTAGAACAAGTTTTTATATAGAAGTACAAGTAAATCTTAAAACAAAATGTTCAAAATTGAAGAGATTAGATGTAAAAGATCAAAAAACATGCAAACCAATGTAAAATACCACAGCATGTCTGAAGGGAGAGAGGAAGAGGGTGCCGCAAAGTGGTTAAAGTTTAGATTTCAGGAATCAGAATGATGAAACACTGAGTCTTGGGTTTTCTCATTACTATGAAGTGACTTTAAGCAAGTTACTTAACCTTTCGAACTCCGAACATTCCTCATCAGTAAACATTTATTAGAGTAGTAAAAAAATTCTCTTTTGTGAGGATTAAACTACCTATTTTTGAAATGTGCTTAGCACAGTATGTTAAGACATAATCGCTTAAAAACATTTTGAGTTCCAGCAGTATACTCACACTGTCATTTACCGTGAAGGATAAAAACACATGATGGTATGACCGAGCCTTCTAAATGCTTCCAAGTCAGTTGGGTAGGTCAAACAGATAATAGTAAAAGACAATCAACACCTACATTTTCAAATTCCTTGTGTTAAAATGATATTTCTCTCTTTCCTGTTTCTTTCCCCCACCACTCATTTTCCTATCTTGGCTAAGAATTCTTACAAGTTTTCTGACTTTAAGTGGACAATCTAAAAAGAGATATTTCTTTGCGGAGAGAAATGACAAACAAACAAACATGCACAATTTCTCATGACCTGCCTAGACCTTATCTAACTGATTTATTATTAGAAAAAATATTGATTATTACATAATAGAATTGTATGGTGAAGAAAGAAAGTTGGTTTTGTTTCGCTTTGTTTTGCTTTGAGTGAGCAAAATAGAAAACCCAAATCAAGCAGCGTAGTAGGTAGCAAGCAACCAACGTCAGCCTGGTAGACGTTGCCATAAGAAAAGCAGAGATGAGCTATAAGACCAGGACTATTTCAAAGACAGTGGCTGGAAATTATTTTGGTAATATGACGGGGGGTGTCCTATGATTCCATGCCTGTAAACACTTTTTAAAAAAAGTATACTTATTTTTAAAAACACAAAAATTTGTTATGTTACCATTAAAAAAACCCGACTTGTATTTCTTTCACAAAAACTCCTTGCTTCTTCTTTAAAGATCTTGCCTATGAAAGATCTGAGCAGTTTTACCTCAAGTTTTCTTTTCTTCATTTCAAGAACCCAACATGGACTTGGAAAGTTTAAAAACACAGTGCTCAGTACAGCTACGACTTGTGTTTTTATTACTAGCCTTTGATGGAAGCTTTGAGCCAGACTCCTCTTTGTTTAGATCCTTCTGACTTGGCAACTACAGTTTTGCTTGTGCTGGTCTGTTGCACCTCTGTCAAGTAAAGAGACACATGTCCACAGGGGAAAGCAGCGAGTGAATAGCTAGTTTGTGGTAATATTTTCTTGTCTCAGAAAGCGTTATGGGAAAATTCCACAAAGGCAATAAACATATTCCCCAGGAAAACATGAAGCAGGGAATCATTAGACAGTCATTTGCCCATTGATTAAAGGCAAAAAGAAAAGAACGGGTGTCAGGTTAGTCCCTAAGTCTCAGGAGAGGTCTCTGTTCAAAGCACATTGAAGATGTGATAACCGTTGCATTATATCATATTTAGTAAGGCAATGATATGGACATTAAATGACATTTCCGTTTGTGGTTATGTCTTAAAATCAGTTAATTTTCTTTATTTCTGTACATCATTTCTCATTGGTGGACAGAGGATATAAAGAAGGGATAGGGTAAATTCAGAGGTGTCAAGAGAATCAAAGTTCCCCACTGATTTAAAGCACGTTACACAAAAGGAGGTGGACTTTCCTGACCCAACCATAACCCAAAATGCAGCTCCATTTTGATCTCATAATCCAGGTGATTTTCTCACTATGGATACCCATTGTTGATGTCTAAGACATTTATGATCCTAGGGTCAAAGAAAACCACCCACCCCAAAGGCTATTTTTATAGCAACTAATGGAAATGAATTCAGTTAAATAGTTCTCAGCTTATATTTTCCAAATCCAAAACTCTTCAGGGTAAGTTATCATTGCTTAACTGTCATAATCCAAAATACTAGTGGGAATGTGATCATTATGCACCTCTGGGCAATTTTTTTTTTTGCAATCTCACCATCATTTTAATTTAATTTACATCTCTAGCCATTTGCACAGATGTTGATGGAGCTGTATTTTTGCTTCAATTTCTATTGCAATATTCTTATTGCATTCTGCAGGTCCTCCAGTAAACGTTACTTGCAATATTTTTATCAACAGTTTTGGATCAGTCACAGAAACTACCATGGTAAGTGCTACTATGCCACTGGCAAGAGAAAAACGTGACTCGATTATGCCATGAACACAACCTGTCAAATTTTCTATTGTTCAACTTACAGGGCCTCCTGTAAATGTTACCTGCAACATATTTATCAACAGCTTTGGGTCAATAGCAGAAACTACAATGGTGAGTGGGACTGAACATTGAAACCATCGTGTGAAGGAATGGGATATGGGATTGAATAGCACTGTTGCCTATTTGTGGGGCAGTGACTGAGTGCCAATTTCCAACTTTGCTTACCTCTAAAAGGTGTTTTATAAGTGTAAATCTCAAAATTTAAGAGATGTTTGTTATAGTCAGTCTTTTAAAAATAAAGGGAATTTTAACATAGTCAAGCCTCCCTCTAATGCTACTTTTAAGATGTGTATGCCAAGGGGATAAACTTAACAATAATACATAGCAATTATATCACATACATGACTTTTCAAAAACCATAGAGTTAACTAGAAGCTTGGACCAGCCAGTGAGATGGTGGTTTAAGTGGCTAGATCTCATATGGCCAACTGTGTGGTTCAAGTCTCAGACCTGATGGCTTGGAAAACATACTGGACACATGAGTGTGCATTCTCAAAATCTAGAGAGGAGGAAGGATTGCAGCATGGCCATTCCCCTTGGGGGTGCTTTGTCACTTTCCCACTCTCTCTAGAGAGCATATGTGCCATGTAGCAAATTTTTAAAAAAGATAATCATAGAATATATGTAAACATGTTTCATATATGTGAAAAAGATTTCAGATATCACATCAAGACTCTTTAGAACTGGTTATATTTTCTGTGACACAGCCTATTATTTGCCTTACCTACAGAGAATTAGACTACAATATAGAGATTAAATTTTAGGTAAAATGTTTTCTTGGACCCCATATGATTTACTTTAAGTCTCAAATCAATTGTCTGGTTCTAATTTGCATAACCATGTAAAATATAAAGTCATAATGTTGAATTAGACCAAAATTAATGTAGTTGAATTTGACTAGGTATGATAGTGGCTGATGTCCTAGAAACATTCAAAAAGTGAAATAATGAGGATAATGCCATTGAGAAGTAAAAAACAGGGTTCCCCGTTTATGCTTTTTTTTTTCTTTTAGGCAATTAGAACCATGTTTAATAAATTATGTACTTTGTGGTATCCTTGAAGCTAGAAAAAATGAATTTACCTTTACCACCCCTTTTCACTGGCAAAATTAGACAAAATTTAGCTCTACTGCTCATTTTATTATTATTCCAAAGAGACATTGTCCAGGAATTAGACTTCTAGGGCTCTGACAGGATATAGTGCATTAAGAATTTTACCTGAATAAGACAGTGTTGATAGGGTTATTAAATGACTCATAAGAAAGACTAAGCATGGAAAGAATAATCCAACTTTGGTCTTGGCATTCTGTCTCTGTCTTTCCCCTCTGGGTTTTATCTTAGTAAAAGAGGAACGAAGATTCCAGTAACCCAAATCCCTGTCACCAGCTTTACACGATGGCATTCAATGACAATATTTGCACGACCTAATGCTGATTGCATTAATTAGACTCCTAAGTTGCTTTGATTAAATCTCCTCATTGCATCTTACTCTCAATCAAAAATGTAAATGTGCACCTTTTAGATGTCCATTAATGCAAGAGAAAGCTAAACATTTAAGGAGATGAAAATGGAAGCTAAGGATACCCTTGTTTTTCTCTGCTTATAACAGCTATTGAAGGTATTTAATAAATGGGCTGCTTAGGTGCTTCCTAGCCACTTATCAAGTGTCCTTTGTCATACGTCCGATTAGAAAACTTGGAAAGCGTTGCTCAAGGGTAACATCAACAGCTTGTCTACTCTGTTAAAGATGGATTGAATTGCATGATTAGAAGAGTGATGTATACTGTGCTTCTTTTATTTCACTCCTTAGGTTTTAACGTAATGACAGACTTAATTTGGCTTTGAAAAGCTCTATTTTATTCTCTTTGATTATGGTTTTGGTGTAAAAACTACAAAAAAAGGTGTTTTGAAATTGTCTCATGCTTAACTTAAAGAAGAAATTCTCTTATCATCAAGTGTAGGGACTGGCGAACATTTGTAAAAAGCCTGGACAGTAAGTACTTTAGGCTTGCGAGCCAGATAAGTCTCTATCACAACTAAAATCTGCTCTTTTGACATAAAAGGAGCCATAAATGATAATAAGCAAATGGGTGTGGCTGTGCTCCAAAAAATTTTATTTACAGAAATAGACCAAGGCCAAATATGGCCCACAGACCACAAGTTGCTGACCCCATGACTAAGGCATCGATATTTACATGGATGTTATTCAGATGTCTAAAGGAACACGAGAAAGAAAAAAGTGAGAAATTGTTGATTAAGGAAGGGACTTATTTTCCAAGATACTGGAATCCTTGCCTGGAAATCCACCTGATACACCCTGTTTTAATCAATTCGGACTGCTATAACAAAATACCATAGACTGGGTGGCTTATAAACAACAAAAATGTATTTCTTACAGTCCTGGAAACTGGAAGTCTGAGATCAGTTTGCCTACACGGTTTAATTCTGGTGAAGGCTCTATTTGGGTTACAGACTGTTCACTTCTTGCATCCTCACATGGCAAAAAGAAAATTCTCTAGTTCCCTTTTATAAAGTCATTAATTGCATTCATGAAGGGTTTACCCTCCTGACCTAATTGCCTCCCAAAGTCTCCACCTCCAAAAACCACTGCACTGGAGGTTAGTATTTCAACATAGGGATTGTGGGGAAAAAAACATTCAGTCCGTTGCATACTCACGCATGGTCATCACAACCAAAACTTCCTTTACCAAATCTTTAAGAATCTACCATCCATGAATTAAATGGTATTTTTTACAAAATTTGACTCAGAAAAACTGGTCAAAAAAGTTAAAACAGAACCAGATTCTTTTCTGAATCATTTTCAGTTGGAATCAGAACTCAGCTTTTATGCACAGTGATAAGAACATTGATTGGTGCTATTTTCTGGGGATAATAAATTTTTTGTTTTCTCTGCATCTTCTGGAATGAATTTTTTCTCAGAATGCATCAGAATTTTGAGTTTCTAAACATGTTGATTTTCCTTTCTTTCCTCACACCTTGCTTTCACTGTATGATTTTGACAGCATTATTAAAAGATTTAGTTTTGTGAGTTTGTTTTCAAATAAGAGGCAAATGATTATCGGTTTCAAGAACTCTTTTGGTGCTATGCAGTTTGCCCCTCTTGTGGTTTCATGAAATTCCACTAATATTTTGTTGGTACTGCATTCCCATGACGTATAAACTTAATTACAGACTGAATGCCAACTCTTACTCCTTTGGTATGTTAGTGATGGAGATGTGTACTCTCAGGGCAACATATTTGTGTTACTCTGAGGGGTATTTTTATGGATTATTATGATGATACACATATTCAAAATCCACATTTTTGTTCACTAAGAGACACAGAGATGTGCTAGTGGTCATTTTTAGTTGACCCTGTGTTACAAGTATTCCATGGAGTAAATTTTTTGTGTAGTCCCCAAAGACTTAGAAGACTAGGAGGGGACATATGTGAAGACGGGTTACATTCTGTTTTGGTAATGTCATTTTGCCATTCTCCCCACCCACCTTTTCACTAATTGCTAATGGCGAGTGAATTTACAAGATGAGGGGTATAATTGCTACCTCCTCCTTCTTGATGTAAAGACATTATTTGAGAATATTATCAATGTCAGTAAGGACCAGGAAAATTTGCACACCATGTGCATGCAGCTCTCCTTCCAGCTTCCAAGTGACTGCCAGAAAGCATGTGGGTGGAGAGTGTGTGACTTGGACCTGGGAGTGTTGGAACGCTCCTGGTGCTACAGCAGTAGATCCTGACCTTCTCCTCCTTTAACAGGGCTTAATGTGTACGCTCAGAACATTCCCAGAATATGATTATGTCTCCCTAAAACTCTGCCCCTAAAAGGTAAATCCCACCTACTCTGCTGGTTACTGCTGCAGGGTGAGAAGTTGTTTGACCTCTGATCTAAAATCACATTCCTGAGGAACTCAGATAAGAAGGAAGACTGGCCTTTATTAGAATGTGTGCTGTGTGCTATATCTGCTAAAATGACACTATGGCCCCCCTTTCATTCTGTAGATGCATAAGCAGGTAATAAGAAGATGCCAACATATCAGGGATAGCAGGTAGCTACATTTCTTATTTCTGACTTCTTAAGGAAGAATCAAGAATCTATCACAAGTCTGGCATTCCATTAAACCAATAAATAAGGTGACCTTGGTTCCTAAAGTAGCAATGCAATATTAAAGCTTGAATTCATCATAAAGTAACACCTCCCCACCCCATCATTTCAAACTCATATCTAACTTCCCATATTTGAGATTATGAAAACTTTAGCACAGCACAGCTGGAAGTAAAACCAAAGTTCTTTATAGACAACATGGGCAAACCATCAAGCATATTCTCGTCTTTGACGCCTGTATAGCTAAATGGACTGAATGATGCATACATATAAAAAATAATAAGAGAGTAACGGTAAGGTTTAATAGGAGTATGTACAAGAGAGAGTGTCAACCTCTATGAACAAATGCTAAACTAAATATAATAGTGCCAAAATAATTCAATTTAAACAATCTGGAGTAGGCAATACGAGGTATCAGAAAAAGAAAAACTTCAGAAATTCTAAATTTGACATGAAAACAATAATATGGAATGTACATACCTGCTTTACCCATGTTAAAAATATAATAAAGATCATGCGATAAATATAATAAAGATTATGTGATCTATACACAACTCTCAAAAATAGAGGATATATATATTATCTTTAGATAATATAGATATATATAAAATATAGATATCTGTATCTATCTATCTATCTTTATATCTATCTATAATTTGAATTTTCTATTACCTAACCCAATATTTAGATAGTTAATCATAGGAACAAATTTTAGTACAAGGAAGTATGTTATTTATTTAAATTTCATCTGTCCCTAGAGAGAGAAGACAATGCAAAAGAAAATTCAGTTTACATTTAAGAATGTTTTTCAATATTTACTTCCCCTTTAATATTTCATTAAACCCAGAAGCAAAAATAAAGACCAAGAAAGACTGCAGAACAATATAACTATCCTCCTGTGATTTGGAATATCATAAGAAAATAAACTTTTCTGTAAATAAACAGAAATGATGCATAGATAAATTGCACATGTCAAATTTTACCCTACACTGAAAATGACAGTGAACTAGAGGAATCATACAGGCATAGCTCCAGAAAATCTTTTCACTGGCTATCTACTTCACTACATCCTTGGGTATCCTTTTCTACGCTTGAAGATTTTTAAGAATAGTTGCTTATTTTAGAATAGTGTATATCATCATAAACAAAATTATGGGCACCTTTTAATTACTCTTCATTTAATTTTGGCATAAAATATATTTTTTTCTCAAAGTTTTACACTTACCCTTGCTTACAAATAAGGAGATTAATTTATTTTTAATTAACCTGAGACACTTAATGGTTCTATTGTGATATGACAGATTCAGCGCTCTTTTAAAATTCCAATATCAGGAGAATCTACTTCATAATTTTTTAATATGTAAATTTCAAAATAGAAAACTAGAAAACACTGAAGCAAACTGATGGGAAAGACTTTTTAAAAAAGATGTATATTATCTGTGAAAGTCTACAATGAGGTATTTTTCTTAAAGATCATTGTTTTTGTATTGTATGTCACTAAGGTAATATTCTCAGGAGTCTCTCAGTATACATCTATAAATCATTCTCAGGGTCAAGGATGGATTACAATGATGTTCTCTCAGTAGATTTGCTGTCTATGACGTTCTATAATATATAGCTCCCCATGGCCTCTCCCACCCTAGGCTTACATTAATGAGAGGGGAAGCTTGTTGGCTTCCCAGTGGTCTAACAGATTTCATCCATTCACTTCAGTTATTGATATTACCAACTGTCATTGATTCCCTTAGAGTTTCTCTATCTCCACAACTGGCTAGGGAATGAGATCCTCTTTTGTATTTCCTTTTGAAACAAGTACATAGATTCTCCCAAATAATTTTGTTAAGGATAACTGGTTCTCACTCTGGGGAAACAAAGGGCAGTGTATGTTTAACTATGGAGAAGCTGCATTCTCTCCCTCCAGAAACTGAGAAAATCTCAAAGTTGATACATCTACTGCATACTTATGAATAAATTGAATTGTTATATTTTCAATAGCTTCTGCTTCAACTTTTACAAATTCACTCACAAAACTTCAAAACTTCCAGTAGCCCCTGTTCCTAATGAGACACTGAACAGATAATAATCCAGTTATAGCCTCCTGGTCTCTTTGGACAATTCCAGAAAAGTGTAATAGGGAGAACTTTCAGGTACTACCATTCTGTTGGTCCACTCATTCAGGGAGCCAGTGAGCAAACAATTTGGGCCAGATACCTGAATGGCCACACTACAACACCCTCTTGGGTCTAAGCATTTGCTGGATAGGCCTGGTATAATCCCAAATAAATGTCAGCTGCTAAATTTTTCTAAGTCAGAAAGTCCTTTTTTTTCTTTTCTTTTTTTTTTTTTTGCTATAGGGCATGTGCACTTACCAGAAAGACAGACAGAGACTGAGACAGAAAGCGAGAAATCACACTCACCCCGGGAAGGGGGGGGAATGGCCACGCCACAATCCCTTCTCCTCCATTCTCCTCTTGGGATCTTGGGCACGCACGCACATGCACCCGGCGTGAGTTTAAGCCACCGCATCTGGGACCTTAACTGCGGTTGATTACATGGGAGTCCAGTGACATAGCCATTACGCCAACTACTGGTCCCAGTCCTTTTCTTACACAGTGAAGAACCTCAAAGTTTTTTGTTGTTATTTTTGTTTTATTTTTAGTTTTTTGCCATAGGGCACATATACTCACGAGAAAGAGAGAGAGAGAGAGACAAAGAGACAGAGAGGCTGTCACAGGGAAATTGAGAAATCATCCTCCAGGAGGCATGGCCATGCCACAATCCCTTCTCCTCCATTCTCCTCTCATGATTTTGGGCTTGTGTGCACATGCTCCTGGTGTGATTTTCAAGCCACTGGGTCTGGGACTCAAAATGTGGTCAACCATATGGGTGTCCAGCACCTTAATCACTATGGCACCTGCTGGCCTCAGTTATTTTCTTTTAATAGTTCAGACTTTCCAAGTTATCTGGGTTTTGATGGCTGATTTTCAGAAGTCAGTAACTATTTGATTATTAATCTTTTTTAAGTCTACTTTGGGCACCCTTCCCAAAAATTGTCACCTCCAAAATACTCAATTAGCCAGATCATCAGGATGACTGTATTTGAAAAAATTCATAGGGATCTGAATAGTTCAGTAAATAGGTAGAAGGGACTGGAGTAAAGCTCTTTTCCATACACCCTCATCTTTACAACTTCGTCTTCTTTTTTTTTCCTCCTTGCTCTGAGGGAATTCTGAAAACTGACCATTCTGTGGTATCCATGGTAGTGGATATAATGATCCAGTACCATACCTGTTTGCCTGGCACCGAGGAGGTTCCTGAGATTTTAGTTTGCCTGGCACCGAGGAGGTTCCTGAGATGAGAGATTTTTAGGATCAAAATTGGGAAGTTCTCAGGCAAACTAAGTTAGGCACCATTAGTGTAAGGTAAACAATGGACAGAAGTCCAGGTGCCAACTAATACATGGAAATGGAGCAAATGAGTAAAAAAAGTAAAGGAAATAGAATAAGAATGAATGAGTATATACCACTCTGCAAATGTCAAGAGTTGAAAACTATTTAGCTCTGAAGCCATAGTCTTGCTTGGCTAGGCAATACAGTTGAAGCCTCAATTGCTAACCAGATTACTAAGTGAAAGAATACTTTCCATGAACCAAAGACCTCTGAGTAGTCCCCAGGAGATCAATCACTGCCCCAAGCTGGCTTATTAGCACAGATGGAAATTCCTGGACCAAGTTGGAATGCCATGGGTATACCTGAGGCTCCTGCAAGGGATAAATCTCTGTCAGGTTTTTCAGATTGGGAAAACATGAAAAAGATCTCTGGTTGAAGCATCAAGCATCAAGTTGGCTAGTGTAAATAAAACACATTCATAGAAAATGATAAAATTAAGAATTTTGAAAGAAAGTAGCTATGAGTTATTTTGTCAACATGAAGCATCTTAATGTTTATATTGATGAGCACTTAAAAAAAAGAAAAACTCTTGCCCTATCATGCCACAGTTTTATAATACTTTTGCTACCACAATTGTAGAGCGGGTTTCCTTTTGCCCAGAGCATCTGAGCAGGAAGAGACTAGAGATCATGTCATTTCTGATTTGGAAAATGTTTTATTTGACAATCTGCTATCACAGACTGACTTCTGTACTTTCATTGTTATCTTTTTCTATAGCAAAATAAGCTTGAGTTATTATTTCATCCAAGAATGAATAATTTAAACATAAAAAATTCAGTGAAGTCAGTCTGCTCCATTGGTGTACTGGTTTGGTTGAGTAGTCTGTCTTTCTCCTTTCTGTCCCTACTTCTAATATCAATAGAACTGAGTGATTTATGTTGACCAGGCTCTGTATAGCCTGGTTTACTCAGGTACCAATGTTATATCAAATCAGGAAGAAGGGTGAGAGAGAAATGTAGATGGGCCTCCGATGAGTAATACCTAACTCATATGCATGGCGTTTCCATAGGACTACCGAGTGAACATTTTTCTGAGACAACAGTGGAATGATTCACGGCTGGCATACAGTGAGTATCCAGATGATTCCCTGGACTTGGACCCATCTATGCTAGACTCCATTTGGAAACCAGATTTGTTTTTTGCCAATGAGAAGGGTGCCAACTTCCACGATGTCACCACTGACAACAAATTGCTGCGGATTTCAAAAAATGGCAAAGTGCTCTACAGTATCAGGTAAGCCTCTGCTGGCTGCACCTGTTCACATCTCCATTTCTCAGCTAACCTAGAGCTGCCTGGTTCTGCAAGGCAAGAAGTATATCAATATTGCACTTTGGTTTTCTCTCATTTATCATTTAATTTTAGGACTGGTGGAACGTACCAGAAGTTCCCATGGTCTCATAAGTGTAATCTGTCATGAGATAAATGTATTTGGTAGGACAGTGAGTGGGTGATGATATTGTGTAAATACCTGCGCAAATGTGCTTTGAATTGCCTCAATAAAGGACATACAAGCCCTTCAGTTAAATTTTTTTAAATAGTTATTTTATTTAACTTTATTCATTTTAATTCGACCAGAGAGGGACAGAGTGAGAGTGAGAGTGAGTGAGAGAGAGAGAAAGAGAGAGAGAGAGAGAAGTCAGAAAGCAAACTGCCAGGTCCGGGACTCAAACTGTGGTCAGCCATATGGGAATCCAGCACCCTTATCCACCATGCCACCTGCTGGCCCCAGTTAAATTTCTATTAAGCATAATTTATGAATTTTCATTAGATAATTCTGTCATTCTTTAACATTTAACCACCAAAACCCAAAAATTCAAGGGCTTGGCATGGTCATTGGCAGCATACTTTGGGCTAGGTGAATAGGAACTTGGTTTCAGTCTTGACTCTGCTTCTAACTACACACATAATTTTGATCTGTTGCCTAGGGCTTAGGCTAGACAATTCCTGAGATCCATTTTTGCTTTGATATTTTCTAGAATCCTTCCTACCCCAGACTCAAAATAATCTCTCCCCCTTTCTGAACTCTAATAGCAGTTTCTCCATGACTCTGTAAGACTCTTATTTCTTCTTGCTGTATATTTGTGCTATGTCTGTACATGAGTATAGCATGGATATTTAGAGTCAGAAAAATTTAGATTCAAATCCAAATTTTGCTACTAGCTCAGTTACACAAACCTATAGCCCTCAGTTTCCTTAAATGCAAATGGAAACACCATTTTTTCTCTGAGTATTCTTTTGAGAATGAATGATGTAGAGATCAGAAAATACTTTCTATAAAGGGCTGGATAGTATTTTAAACTTTGCAGGTCAGATTGCCTCTGTTTCAACTATCCAATTTTGTTACTGTGGCTCAAAAGCAACCATATGCAATAAGCAAACAACTGGGTGTGGCTGCACGTCAAAAAAACTTTATTTACAAAGATAGATAGTGGACTGGATTTGGTCCTCTCACTATAGTTTGCTGACCCCTGACGTAGAGTATATAAAAAATTGTTGTAGCAGTAGCTGACACAGGGTAAATGTGCAATATATAAAACAGTGACTATCAGTATTCTAAAATGAATGATTTTTTAAAAATTATTTTTTAAGTTTTTTTACCTCAGGGTGTAATCACTGGAGAGAGAGACACACACAGAAGGAGGGAAAGTGAGAAATCACCCCCTAGGGGGGATGGCCACACCACAATCCCTTCTCCTGGAATTCTGGGCATACATGTGCATATATGTGCACACATCCAGCATAAGTTTCAAGTCACGGGTCCAGGACTCAAACCACGGTTTCGGCCATGTAGAGGTCAAGCACCTTAACCACCCTATCACATGCTGGCTCCAATCAATGATCTTTTTAAATAGTAAACTCTTTCAGGTCAAGATACTTTGGTTTTGACTTCTATATATTTCAAAGGACCATGAGTGTATTATAAAATTAGCACATTGAATAAATATTAGCATTGTAAAGGTCCTTTACAGAATTCTTTCTCTTCATTTAAAATAAATTGTGGCCAGAAACAAAAAAGGGGACAAGTAGTAGTCTTGCAAACAATTTTCACAAGTTTGCAGACTCACCACCTCATTTAGCGATTCTATATACAATTTGGTTCTCTATTGTGTATTCCATTCTTATACCCGGCAATTTCACAGCTTGCTGATGGCTGACAGTCCCAATGTCTTGTGGAATGAAAGAGGCTGCTCATTTGTAAAAAGTGGCTAAGTCACTGCTTACACAAAGAACTGGGAAACTTTCCCCAATGCCTTCTTCATTTTTAAGGAAACACGGAATGTTCTGCATGGCGATGCATTTGTTTGATGTAAGATGCAGTAATGGGCACGACCTACGTTGATGTGACCTGATGAAATAGGACATATGTAGAGCGTGGTGCTGGGAAGGAGAGTTATAAAAAGCAGCACAGGGTATCAGCTGCTTCAGTTAATCCTCAGGGCCTTGGGTGGCATTAGCTTTAATAAATACCTGGCATCATGTACTGTAGATATAAAACCAAGCTGCTGTAAATGTTTTCTTTCTGTTCTATGAAGGCCTTTCCATTCTAGCACCATAAAGCATATACTGGTCCCCGAACTAGATCCAGAGGCAATTCTTCTGTCTCTGATTTCCAAGTGTGGCACAGTATAGGCTCTGAAATGCCCTAACAATCTTTCTGAGTTGGACAGAGTGCGACCACTAGCAGGCTGGTAAAAATTCCTACTTTCTTGTTGGTATTCTCTGAAATCAGGAAAAAATCTTGATGAAGGGGAACAGGGGATGTCACTTTAAGGAAACACAAGTTGCTGACATATTTGAAGTCCAGGAGTCCAATTATTTGCCCCAAAGGGTTTCCAGTTATCCAGACACTGTGCAGGACCTAGAGATCTGGAGCTGGGTAAGATGTGATCCCTGCCCTGGAAAGGCTCCAGTCTAACAAGGTATGTGAATACATAGTAAATTAAATAATAGGAATAAATAGGGAACAGGGAAAATAAAAGTGGTTCTATCCTGGCAAATGAATTGTGTGGCCCCACTACTGTTACAATTTGGGGTCAGCTCACACAATCCTATTTGAACAACTGGCCTCAATTTAACTGGAGGCCAAGGAGTAATTAATGCTAATATATGCATAGTTGTAATCATTCAGCTCAAGTTTAAGACCACAAATGCTATAGATGTTGATGTCTTAAGGGTGCTGGAAAGTGCCTGTTGAAGTTCCATTAGGAATGAATTTCCCTGTATACTAAAGTTTGCCATACAAATACTCCTGCAAGAGCAAACCCATTGACTTAAGTTCATACTAGGCTATAAAGAGATGATATGAAATGAATTACTGATAGTAGGTTTGATATCTATGAAGAATAGTGAGAATGAGCATAGTGGATCCCTATGAGGAGAAATTCGATAGGATGAAGACAGGTTGGGACAGACAGAAGGAAGGGACTAGAAGGACCAAAGACAAAATCACAAATTGCTTTTCCCTTACACTGTTAATTACTTATGCATCTGGTCCATGTTAAAAGTGGTAATATTCTGTGGTGATATTTTGTATTTGTATTTTCTTGAAACCTAAAGCAAATCCAGATAGTATTTCACCTGGGAAAGATTCCATGCTTTTCTTAGATTTGTAAGAGCAGAAGTAGAACTAACTGTGCATGGAAATCAAAGTCCAAGGCTTTCCTGGCTGAACAAAACACAAAGAGAAATATACAGCCCACTGACTTCATAAGGAGCAAGATTACAACCATGATTTTATATATCTGTTTTCCAAAAGGTGAGGGTTTAAAAAAAAGAAGAAGGGGAAATAGACCAGAACTCCATGTGTGCCCTCCTGATTCAAATATTTGAGGGACTTGAGTAAAAAGTCAAATGAGTCCCTTAAATAGGAATTCTACATCCTCGTTCAGTGTTCATAAGTCTCTATTCCATGATGCAAGACACAATGTTGATTAAAAAAAGTGTCAAATCCATTTCTATCCATTTCTCTTTAGATTTCTTCTTTAATATTCATTTCCCTAGGACATTTTATCTTTAGTCTGTGTCTTATTAGATTTTTGTTTATCCAAACCATTAATTATTGATCATCCCTGACCAAACTTTAAACAAGGTCACATATTTTGCTTTGTACAGTTTCTTCAGAGAGAGGCAAATTCTAAATTCTTGTTGCTTAATAGGGGCTTGAATCCATAGTGGAATAATGAGGTGAGCCTTGAGTATTATACTACTGCTCAGATGATATTTGTTGAATTGAATATAATGAATTGGAGTAAAGCTCAGGATATCATGGGATATGGTGGAAGAGAGAAAAAAGGTATTTTAGGTATTTTTGGAGAGGAATAGTCTGTCTCATGTGTTCAATGTTGTTGCTGATATTTATTTTGTTCTTTTAATTTGCTTTTGAAATTTTTCTGTCAGAATTCTGACTTTTATAGAAGCATAGAATTTTCTTAAAAAAACAAACAAACAAAACAAAACAAACTTGAAGTCACCTTGTAAAATATCTAATCCAACACCGTTGTTTTACTGATGAGGAAAGACTTCTTTCAGCAGGTAGGTAAGCCAAAAATAATGGAGCCAGTAGATAAGAATGCTAGGACGAGTATCAAAGCTCCTGATTTCTATATTAGTGCTGCCATCATCTACACCACATTATTAATAATTTCCAATTTGCTCCAACCCAAGTGCAAAGATGTAAACAGTTTCAAAGATGTGCCATTTTGGAATCAAACTTTCTGGGAAGGCTGTTGGAAGATGAAGGTAATGTTAAAGGTGAAAACATAAAAGTGTCTTCAATTGTGCAAATATCTAAAAAGACTTTAAATTCAAGGTGAAAGGGTTGGCTTTCAAATAGGAAGAACTATCTGTTAATTTCATGTAGCATATGTAGCTATTATAGCAGATATACTTTCTGAAAAAGTGTACTATCTCAGGAACTGGTGCTAAAGGCAGCTGAAGAGACCTTTTAAAGTCATTAAGTCAACTTCCTGCCATTAAGCAACTGGCTGAGAACCAATTTTATCATTAAAGACTTTTGGAGGAGGAGATTTAAAATTTTCTCTTGTTATCTTGTAATAATAACAATATATACTAACATTGTGTAGAAATTCTTCCTATACAGTCTTCCAAAATTCTACATATAATGAAAAAACTATGTATAGATTTCAAAATTTTTGCACCAAAATGAACTTGTACATTAGTGCGATTTTTTTTCCTACAAACTCTTTGAAGTACTGTCATATAACTTAAATCAT